GGCAGTGCTGGGAATAAGGGGACAACTCTGTCCCATTAGCCATTTGTCAGTCATCATGCTTATTTTAGCTGGAGAGGTTATCACTTGGGACCTTTTTCATGGTTTTAAAGGTTTAGGAAGCAGGCATTTATTTCAGTGTAGCCATTGGCAGATAAAAAATTCCACCAACTCAGGTGGGACGGATTTATTAGGGAATGGGTCTTGAAGAACTTCAGTATATCTGAACTCAAAATCTCACCCCTCTTTCACGTACTTTTAATAAACGTACAGCTTAGCAGCAAGGCCCTGAATGAACACCTGCTCTCTCTTGTTGAGAACTCTAACAATCGCCTCTCTTTAGCACAAAGCTGCGGAGGTGAGACCTGCTGGGCAGTAAGGAGCCGGGACCGCTTCACTTTAATTCACTCTCTGGGATTCAAACAAAAGAAACCAGAGCAAGTCCCTGCCTGCTGAAATTCCAGGGGCTTGCGCTGAAGTGCAGCAAGGCCCAGGGCGCTTTGAATCTTTGCTTGTATACATCAGCCCTGCACTGCTCCCAGGCAATTGTACCTTAAGGTATTTATTATTAACGGTAAAGGAGTGACTACCAATAGTTCTCATTAATTTCCATGGCAATATTGCCTGAAACAAGACAAATGACTGGGCTTCGAGTTGTGTAACCCAAGTTCCCAACGTGAAGGAATGCAGTCCAGGAAAAGTGTTCAGATGGTGGGGAGGGACCGACCTTGCACGACCTTGGGCCTTGAAGGCCCAACCTCCCTTCCTAGCTAGCAAGCTGCATTCCTAATTTTCTGAAAATATTGAATGGTTTGCACTTCCAGCCTCTGCTCTCTGGGCTCCAGTCTTCAGCATGCCTCGCAGCATTCCTTAGTATAATATTCCTTACTATTCCTTACTCCTTTCACCCACCCATTTATTCATTTATATGCCTTCTAACGATGCACTGCTGGAGCTTCCATAGGGGAAGATGTAACAGGAATATCAACAATAATAGAAAAATATAAAAATGTACTACTTTCCTCTTCTGTGTCCATCTTTCTGCAGAAAACAGGCAAGACACCTACCACGACTGATTTAGACATTAAATTATGGACTTTAATGCTGTCACTCTATCAATAAACTCCGAATACCTTTAGAAGTCCAAATAAAGCTTTCCTGGTTATATGGCCATTTGGTTAAGCAGAATAGTGGCAGTCAGTCAGAATTAAAACATTTCCTAGAATCTGAGGACAGAGATGTTACGAACAAAGAGGAATTTGAGTGGGCGTAAATTCCTTGCCCTGCTGTGCTGGTAGGATTATATCTCAGGCTTCCAGAGCAGGAAAAGGATGTTACAGGCATAATGGCAGGGCATATCAATCAGATAACCAAATCTAATTACAGAGTAACTAGATTAACTAGTTAACTTCAGCTACATGCAGGCAACTGGCCAAGTGCCACAACAGAAAGCAGATTCAGAGAAAGAATTTCTCAACACATTAAACAACTTCTTGTAACAACTAGTCTCAGATTAGACAACAAACTATTCTTGACTAACGTTAAAAGACACAGGGTTTGTGTAGGAAAGAACGGGCGCTGAATCACTCATTAATAGTAACCACAAATTCAGCCCCCTTAGAGAAAGAATTGCACCAGAAGGACAGGATAATGACTCTAAATTTTAGTAGAAAGATTTATTTTCTGAGGGAGTAAGCCAGTAATAAAACATGTTCTGGGTAAAATAATTGCCTTAATAGAGTCATTGAAGGGAACAGAGGCATTGGCCCCTAGTTTTCAAGCCCTTATTTTAACACCGTTTGTGATACGCTGGTACTGAACAAAACATAATTGCATTTCTTGCTTTCGGTACATCATAGTTAAACCATGCTAGACACGGCCTGAGACCGAGCTCTTCCAGACGTCCCAAACTGCAAAGCACCCCAGGCTGGTGACTGCTGGCTAAAGGCAGCAACAGGAGAGCGGCGGGCAGACGCTGCAGCGTGACTGCGGCGGGCCGGGCCTGCGCTCCCGCGGCGGGTGCAGGGCTCCCGCTGGCCGGGGCAGAGCTGGGCGCCCGCGGAGCTGCCGGCGGGGGCCTCCAGCCCCTGGACGGCTTCTGCGCCCCGCAGGGCATCAGCCTGAACGGGGCGGCTGCTTACTAACGGAATGGTGCCGAACTCGGTCGGAGGGGATGCCAGCCGTGGTCCTCGGCTGCGGTTCTTCACCCTTTCGGCAGGGATTAACTCTCGATTTCTCCCACCTCTCTCCCCCAGCACACATACAAACGCTTGTGTTCCAAGACAGCTGTCTTCACAACTCATGAATTCTAAGGCAAGCTCTTCCCAAGAGGCAAGAGTCAAGTCATCAAAAAAACCTCCCCTCATGAAAAGTGAAAAACTTTGAAAATTTAAATGTGTAATGACTTGTCTTGGGAGATGGAGAAATGGGTACGGTGAAGGAAGAGACTTCTTCAAGTAAGAAAACTTCAGAACAGATTGTGGCAGGGTTGCCACTGTTTACGCTTGTGGCTGTCTAATGATGGCAATCCGGGGAATTAGTTTTACATTGGTTTCATCCTGTGGCCCAAAAGTGCTGTTTGATGTTAAATTTCTCAAGCAGCAGGGGAAAAATTGCAGTGACTGGGGAAGTGCAGACTAAACAACAGTTCATAATGCTGGATGATGTTCACACACGTAAGTGTGAATTCAAGTTTTGTGTTCTGAATCCCTTCTAGAGCATAGAAGTTGAAAGAATAGAACAGTCATAAAAATCTTGTTCTAGCATGTTCTTGGCAGCGCTAGGTTATCAGTTGGACTTGGTGATCTTAAAGGTCTCTTCCAGCCTAAAGGAGTCTATGTCCCAGCCAGGTTTTTGGGGCAGTTTCTCTCCTGTTCCTGCCCGGCACCGGCACCCCGCGTCCCCCAGCGATGCCACCACAGCCGCCCCAGGCCACGGCCGCTGCTCCGGGCTCTGGCCTCAGAGGCAGCACGGATGCCCCGCTGCTCCCCACCCTCGCCCCCTGCTCCGGGTCCTCCCTGGCACCCGCTGGCGGGCCCCGAGGGGCCACGCGGCCCCGGGGGGGCGGGGGCGCCG